CCTAAGTATTCACTGATCACTTAACATGGACATGCATCACATACCACCATTAATAGTGTTTCAAATTTGTCGTCCAATATCATTTGTAGAGATATTCTATGAGTCTTAGTACTTCCTGATCACTTGTACGAACGTTCACCACATATGAATGTGAATGCTGAAGTACTGTGGTAAATATGTACTTCACACATCATTTGCAGTAGTACTCTAGTGTTATCTCTATATGCTAGAGACTAGTTGTGTCAGGATGTAATAACAATCTCTCTTTCTATTTATATTAGTTTATTTACAATATTAGCACATACATACACATGGCACCCTGTGCCTCTTCTGCAATATCTTATACTCAATAACCGTAAACACATAACATACGGTCCCTGACCATATTCTAGCTCGGACGCTCCTAGCGTTTTCCTCGTGGTTTCAAGATCTAACTGCCTGTACTTATCACACTGGACCACACAGTTAAAGTCCCAGTTACTGGTCACAGTCGCGACCTCTCGCGGCTATATAATAATAATTAAACCTTACACTAGGAACCTTAGTACAACCTGATCACTAGCATGAAAGTTCATCATATATGAACGTGAATGCTTAAATACTGTACTGAATTTGGTCTTTTAAGCAATTTTTAAATTGATTGTCTATGAGTCTTAGCACTTTCTGCATTTTTTGCTAATTTATGTGTGTCTGGTTCATTTATTTTGAATAGAAATAAATGTGGAATAATATATTTTACGATCTTCTTCAAAATAAAAAACAATCTTCTGTATTTTTACCGTTTAGTACAGCAGCGATAATACAGACGTAAAGATAAAAATCTTAAGCGGACTAAATCCAAAAAGCAAGTTTATTGGTTCTCAATATGAGACTATTATTTTGGGCCTCGTATTCCGGAAAAGAAAGAGAGAAAATTAGTAATATCCGAGATGAAAAACGGGAAATAATTCATACTCCGTATCTTCAGAAAAAAGGATGCTTAGAGAAAAATATTTTGCTATTCCATGAATAGAACAGAAAAAACACGAGTCAAATTAATTGCCTTAAAAAAGGATTCCTTTAGCATAAAAATACGGTGATAAACGTAAAGTACTCATAAAAAGACCATAAAACCCTCCCGTAACGTTTCGCCCAGAATACAGAAATCTTTCTAATTGACGGGACCCACTGACGATCAAAGTGCAGTTAAAAAGGTGGCTGCTGCCGGTTTAGAGGCTCACTGTTGATTCCTTACTTTAAAAGAGTAACGGTAAATATTTTAATGCCTAAATGTGCATTTTAACTATTCATGCTTTGATATGCGGAACACATATATGCGATTTAAGCCATTTCGTAAATTTATTTCCAAGACAAATTTAGTCACGCTTCGTTTATTAGATCATTTTAACTAGCAATATTTTTGAAATATGTGCTTAATAAAATCGCGTATCGGATAGTTAAATTTAGAGCTCTACATAAATCAATGCTAACTCTAAATAATATTTTAGAGTGGAAATAAATTATTAATGGTATAGAATGCATATAACTTATTAACATAACCAGAACCCATACTACTGTACCCAAAAGGTAAAACCAATTATTATTATTTTTTAAATTCTTTATTTATTCTTCCAAATTTATTTCATCTTCTTCAAAGTAATCCCCTTCGGATACAATGCACTTATGCCAACGCTCCGATTCACAGTGACTCAAAAGGGTGTCCCCGGAGTGGTCTTTTGAGTTTAAGGAATAGCCAGAATTCGCACGGTGTGATTAAGGTGGTTGTGGAACGATATAAGTTTCATTTTGGCGAAATAGTCACGAAGAATCAATGCAGTGTGAGCTGGCGCGTTCAGCGTTTTCGATAGCAATCGAGATTCGAAGTGTTTGAGGCCCAAAATGGAATTGACCGATCCTTTTGAAATTCCAACATCATCAGCAAGGTTTCTAATTGTAAATCAATGGTTTACAAGCACCAAATCTTTAGTTTTTTTGGACGGGAGATTCGGCGCTTGAGGTTGATGGTCGACCAGAGTTCTCTTCGTTTTCAATGCTTTCTCTGCTTTCTTTGAACTGTTTATACCCCTCCTAAACATTTCTTCCCGATATAGGAATGCTCACCGAATGCCTTCTGCAACATTCTATACATTTCCGCAAACAAAATTTAATGCAAGTTCTTTGCTCAATTCATTCAGACATTTCAAAAATTCGCCGGAATCAGTTTTAGCGCCTCTCAAAACTAAGCGTAACTCAATCGCTAATGAATACTTTGACGTGAAATTTCACACAGATATGATGGATAGTGCCAAGAACCTAAAAAAAAAAAAAAAAAATAACATACCATAAGCCTCGGGAATTTTAAATTGAAAATTAATCTTATTTCATAAATCAATGCTAATTCCAAATAATATTTTAAAGCGGAAATAAATTATTAATGGTATAGAATGTTGGTTGATGTATTCTTTTGAAGCTATTTAGCCCATGGGGGTTCCATCTCCGATATGACAAGGTAAATAAAGTTGAAATAATGAAAATTGCATAGAATATATTTACAAATATACTAAAACTAACTTGCTACTGTGTCCAAAAAGTAATACCAATTTTCAATTTAAATTTCCCGGAAATATGATATTTCAATTTTTTTTTTTTTTTTAGGTTAGGTTTTTTTTGTTGGAACTGTCCTTGACATCGGTGTGAAATTTGTCGTCTAAATATTCATTAGTGTTTGAGTTACGCTTGGTTTTGTGAGACGCTAAAACATCTAGAGAACACGTTGAAGACGAAGAGCCCTCTGTTCGACCACCAACCTGAACTGACGAAGCTCACGTCCAAAAATTAAAGATTTGGTGCTTGCAGACCGCCGATTTACAATTAGAGACCTTTCTGAGGATGTTGGAATTTCAAAAAATTCCATTTTAAAAGATCTTTGGGCCTCATAGTCGTCAAATCTTGATTGGTAACGAAAACACTGAATGGGCCAGCTCGAGCTCACACTGCATTGATTCTTCGCGATTTTTTCACCAAAAATGAAACCCTTATCGTTCCACTACCACCGTATTCACCTGAGTTAGCATCGTGCTACTTCTGGTTATTTCTAAACTCAAAAGACCTCCGGGGACACCGTTTTAAGTCGATTGAAGAGACATTTCAAAAAACGCCGGAATCAGTTTTAGCATCTCACAAAACTAAGTGTAACTTAAACACTAATGAACATTTTGATGTGAAATTTCCCACAGATGTGAAGAACAGTTCCAGCAAATTGAAAAAAGAAAAAAAAAATGAAATTTCAAAAGCCCCGAGAATTTTAAATTGAAAATTAGTCTTACATTTTGGACTCAGTATTATATGTGATTTAAGCCATATCGTAAATTTATTTCCCAGACACATTTAGTCACGCTTCGTTTATTAGATCCTTTTAATCAGCAATATTTTGAAATATGTGATCGTTGAAATTCTATAGCGGAAAGTTAAATTTAGAGCACTACACAAATCAATGCTAACTCTAAAATATTATTTAGAGTTAGCATAAGTGGAAAGTTTAAAGTGGAAATTAATTATTAATGGTATAGAATGCTGATTGACGTATTCTTTTGGAGCTATTTAACCTCTTGGAGCACCATCTCCGATATAACAGAATATTACAGTGCCCAAAAAGTAAGACGAATTTTTATTTTTTCAAATTTTTTTTTTTAATTCTTGCAAATTTATTTCATCACCTTCAAAGTAATCCCCGCCGGACACAATACACTTATGCCACCGCGCCGATTCAAGTCGAATCTCTTGAATCGACTCAAAACGGTGTCGCCGGAGTGGCCTTTTGAGTTTAGGGAATAGCTAGAAATCCCATGGTGTGAATACGGTGGTTGTGGGACGATATGGGTTTTCTTTTTTGGCGAAAAGTTCACGAAGAATAAATGCAGTGTGAGTTAGCGCATTATCGCGATGCAAAAACAGAGAGTTGTCTTTCCATAAATGCGGCCTCCGTTTGCGAATAGCTCCGTGCAAACGACGCATAACACTCAGATAATATTTCTTGTTGACAGTTGAACCGGGCGGAAGGAATTCATAATGCACCACACCACGGTAATCGAAGAAAACAATCAACATGATCTTGATTTTTGAGCGACTTTGGCGTGCTCTTTTCGGTCTTCCTTCAACTTTGTCACGATGTTCGCTCGATTGATCAGTTGTTTCCGGGTCGTCAGCATAAATCCAAGTCTCATCTCCAGTTATAATGCATTTCAACTTATCCTGATTGTCAAAAGCATTCTTTCACAAACTTCGACGCGACGATGTTTTCCAAAAAATTAAGTGTTTTGATACCAATCGAGATTTGACGCGTTTGAGGCTCAAGGCATCTTTTAAAATAGAATTGACAGATTCTTTTCAAATTTCAACAACATCAGCAAGGTCTCTAATTGTAAATTGGCGATTTGCAAGCACCAAATCTTTAATTTTTTGGACGTGAGCTTGATCGGTTAAGGTTGATGGTCGACCATAGAGCTCTTAGTCTCCAACGTGTTTTCTGCCTTCTTTGAACTCTTTATACCACTAGTAAACATTTCTTTCTAATATAAAACCGAACTGACCGAATGCCTTCTGCAACATTCTATACGCTTCTGCACACGAATATTAATTCCGCAAACAAAATTTAACGCAAGTTCTCTGCTCAATTAATTCAGATTTTTCAAAAATCGCCAGAATCAGTTCAATTTAACTCAAACACTAATGAATATTTTGACGTCAGATTTCACACAGATGTCAAGGACAATGCAAACAACCTAAAAAAAAAAAAAAACAAAATTCAAATTTCATATGCACGGGAATTTTAATTGAAAATTGGTTTTACTTTTGGGCATAGTAGTATGCACGGCAATGCCTATTAAAAATACCTATATGGAAATGCTGACATGCCTATATGCTATATCCATAGGCCTATATGTATAAGTCGAAGATCATTAATTTTCAAAGTAATTAAAAATATAAAAAAATCTGGAATTATGCAATTTGGAATAAAAGATTAGAAATGCTGGGGATCGAACCCAGGGCTTTTCGCATGCATAGCGAACGCTCTACCACTGAGCTACATCCCCACGTTTGCACTACCATGACAGGTGTTTTATTGTTATACCAATGTACCTGAATTGGCATTCGTGCCTTTTGATCGGAAATATTGATTGAGGGTAAAAAAAAAAAAAAAAATAAAAAATAAATAAATAAATTAAATTGAGTTGTAACAAAGTTGTTTAAGTTGAGTTGGGTCAAAAATTAAAACAAAAACATGGTCTGCAGTTTTTTTTATATATTTTGGTGAATATTTAATATTAATAAACAATATATATCAATATTTAATATTCACACTAAATAAAATTGATAAAAATTTCTGGTTTTATTTTTTTCCCATCTATGATGCATTTAAGTGCAGTGTGGCGATATATTTAAAATTTGAAAAGGGAGTTTTTATTTTCATAATCATCCCGTTTTTTTTTTTTTATTTATCATTGTCTGTAAAATGTAGTAGAATACATGTGATACGATATTATGTTTAAAAGTTATTACAACTGCTACAGACTGCTATAAATATTAAAGTTAACTTATTCTTTTAAAAATAAAATCAGACATGTTTCAGTTTTATATAAAAAATGTTTCCCAAAATATATTGGTACAAAAATTTTCATTTTTGCTTTTAAGCCTAAATGTTAACTTTTTCCATAAAATAGTTAAACAAAATATTCTCTATTAAAGAATAAATAATATATTGAAAAATTTATTTATTTAAAAAAATTATATAGAAAAGAAGGACATTTAGTATGTCGGTTTAATTTCATTTGATGTTATTTTAAATAGGAAGTGTCTTTTCTTTTTCAAGCCATTTGTTTATAAAACTAGACAAAAAAAATTTCTATCGAAACAAACATTATTTTACATTGAGATAAATTGTATTTGAACACTGTTATTGAGAAAAAAAATCTTTTCTTTCATACTTCGCAGATGTTACCATGAAAACATAGAGTCGCAGATGTTGCATTGAAAAAATAGCGTAAATAATATATTTTTTAATTAAAAATCGCTATAAAGCTTTAAAGTATGAGGGGTAACGACTAGCGTCATATTTTCCTTTAATTTTTAATTATTGGACATCTGGTTATTACAAATACTTAACTGTAGTGTGTCATATAAAGTATTAAATATTAGTTATATTTCACTTAAAACAGTTTTTTTAAATTTTTGCATGGTAATTAAAAGATCGCTAATATTTCATTTAGCGTTTTTATTAATTAAGGCAATAAATATTTCAATATTTTACGTTAAATAAATGAAGAAAATTTAATTTTTTATCTTAATTTCATATTGAATGAATGTTGGGTTAGTAGAAAAGGATTTCTTGCGGAAATATTTATTTGATTAAATGAAAATATTGAATGAATTTTACAAAATATAAAAACTTGATTATTGTTTTTATTATAAATTTATTACAAAAAAAAAATTATTGAACAATGGCAAAATAATGAGGAGTGATAGTAAATACAAATAATTTATTTTCATACGCGTTGCAACAAAAACTAAAAATTCAACAAGAATTCCCAGTCTCTTGCCTAGATCAGTCATCGTGGGCTGCTTTAGACTTGTCACAGACCATGGATACGCACAGAGTCACCTGTATAAACCACTTTGTTATAGATCATGACTACATACATAGTCACCTGTATAGAATAGGACTGGCTGCTACAGATATCTGCCCCATTTGCGACTATGGAAAGCACATGACTGGAGAGCACCTCATTGCCCTACTGCTTTTAACGGTATCCTTTTCCGCGTTACTGTCAATGCCTGTGGTGATTATTTTTGTCGTTCTTTACTGTTTTGGGTTGCTCGTCGACAAATAATCGAGAGGTTGGGTTACAATGCATAAAATAGAATAAAAGTCTAAAAAATTTTTTTTTTTTTTTAAATATCATAATAAAATTACTCTAAACTTACACAAGGGTACAACAATGAAGAACATCGTCTAAAACTTCGCATAAATAAAATTAAGCTAAACATTGCAGAACGATAAACAATAAAATTATAGAACAGTCTTCTTCCAAAGACTAGTGAATTGAACCTTGAAAATTGAATGGTACGGTTTATGATTTCAATGGAAGTTTCAATGAAAGTTTTGAAGATGATATTCCCCTAACATTAAGCGGCCTGATGGCCAATTGGCTAACTCTCTGGTCGTTGGTACCATAGGCTTCAGATTCGAATTCTGACGATGGCATCGATGGTAGTTGGTGGCTTGAAATCCAAGAGGTCCTCCAGGTCCTGGTATAATCAGCCTAAAGTGTGCGCAAAATGACTGTAGAGCGACAAATCTAACATTAGGTTTCCCAATGTTAAATTTTCTATATTTCCTGTTACTTTTCATTTGTGGCCACCTAGATTTTTGATGCGGGATTTCTTTTAATGTGGGTTTGTTTTGTCTCTCTATGGTCATCTTGTGCACATTTTAGGCTTAATAGACAGGGATCTATAGTTTAAAGTGGATTCCGAACCACCAACAAATATCCAAGTCATGCCAAAGCCAGGATTAGAACCTGAAGCCTTCAGTACCAATGGCCAGAGCTAATACTAATTGGAGCTAGGATACTAATTGAAAGATTTACAGATACTGAGGAATATTTAAAGATTTTTTACGGAAATGATGTGTATTGGAAGTGTAAAAGTTAAAACATGATTAAAAAAATTATTTTTTTTTAATTTATTGTGTTATTTAACAATTCATTCTTTCATGTTTTTCTGTTTTCCATGAAAAGAATTGCCGAAGGACATATGCTGATGTTATAATCCCAGCAGGTGTTTTGATAAGTATTAAATAAAACAAAAACGACACGTTAAAAATGTAAAGAAACTATCATGCCATATGACAAAAAAAAAAAAAAAAAAAAAAAAGTAAAAGGAATCATATTAAAAATTATTATTATGTTTAAAGATAATTATATAATTTACAATTTGTAAATTACAATGCGCAGATTATATTAAAATTGAAAATCAAATCTATTATATAGCACGATGTTTTGAAACTTTTTCAATTTTCCTTTAGATTAAAACAACTCAGTTTTAGAGTAAAGTTTGCGATATCATCGCAAAGCTTAATGTTTTTTTGGAAAAGAAACTTGTCTACAAACACTGAATTCACCCAACATTTTGGGACACTGGAGATATTTTTGGAGTAGTTTTAAAAGAAGTCTAAATGTTTTCCAATTCCCATTTTTTATCGAGTCGGAACGTGCTCTCCAATTTATTTTTTACTCCATCAACTTAGAAAGTTTGGTACACGAGAGAAATAACTTTGCAAATATTTTTCTTTCATCTATTTGTAACGAGTTTTTTATACTTTCATATTTTATTTCTGTAAGTGAGACTACATCCAAAGGCGTATTAAATTTTAAAGTATTAATTTATATATATTGTAATATATGTTTTATGAGTACGTTAATTGAAAAGTAAAACATGTCCATTGGAACTCATAATAGTGTTAGATTTCAGAATGAAAATTTCTTTTAATTTTTTCATTTTCAAAAATTGATACCCTTGAAAGTGTAATTAAGAAATCTTTCACGATTTTAATTTATATTGCATGGAACTTTCATACAAATTCTAGTTTTTATCATAGGGATTGAGTGCTCAGAGATATTTTTTTTTGTTCTAATGCAGCTGGCAAACACTTAGATAGCTGGGTCTTGGATGCCTTAAGGCAAGCGCTGCACAGACGTTACTCACCTTGCATTACCCAGGGGCGCGTGTAACTTGAAGATAAGCCACGGACGTGGAGTAACGCTCTACGATCCTATTAGGACCGGGACCTACGGTTCAAAGTGGATTCCGAACCACTACGAACATCCATAGCACTGCCGGGACTCGAACCCGAAAGCTGGTACCGAGGGCTAGAGCGCTAGCCACTCGTCCATTCAGGCCCCGGCTGTGAAATACTTTTTTCTTCCCGATGAAAACATAGTAGTCGTTAATAAGTGGATTAGGGATCCATTTCAAAAAATACTCTGGAAAATCTCTGAACTGCCGAAGAAGAAATCTTTATAGACTTCAAGACGACTAGTGAAATCAAAAGACAATATAAGAATAGAATATTCTTTGAATTTTGGGCAAGGGTGGATGATGAGCGCAATGCAATTGTATTTCGCATACTATTACCATTTTCAACATTTTACCTATGGAAAACAGATTTTCTACGTTGGCTGCTTTGAAAACAAAATAGATCTCAGCTATATATAGCAAAAAGAACTAAAGTGTAGATTTCTAATATTAAACATTCCTTCGAAAAATGTTGATATTGATACGAGATACAGGCCAAGACAGGCCTGGCAAGACTATGCAAAATTGTTGTTATGAAAGACGGCCCAGCCCCTCAATAATGATTATTAGACTTGTTTTTAATTTAGCATTACAAGAATTACTAAATGCATTGTGCAACCTATTTCTAAGCGTAATTATATTATATATATATAAAAGAGTATTTTATTTTTTATTATGTCAGTATGCAATTTGTTTTATTTTCGTGTAGTAAATTAATATC